AAGGCACTAGCTTTCGGTTTGCCCCCTGCCCCACCCCAGGGGCGGGACTGTAGAGGCGCCTGTAAGGGAAGTTGTTCAGTCAACTCAGAATAAGGGTAGCAACCCGGAAAGTGGAGTCACCGTCTTGGTCTAGAGACTGATCCCTGCAGAGACAGATCCCTTCCCCTCTCTGCCAAAGACCGCAGCCCCAGAAGTCATTCCATCTCCTACTGCTCGCAATTTCCAGAGGCCCCCTCGCACCTTCCAGCCTGATGTCGTGCGTCAAGTTATGGTGAGTAGGGAGTGGCATGCCGATCGCAGCCTCCGACATGCACACCCAGAGCGCCCCACGGACTCGCTCAGAGAACGCCTTTGAGTCTGGAGACGGTGGGGGCCGGCGAGAGAGGCCGGGGATTGCAGTAAAAGCGCCGAGTCACAGGGGCGCGGGGAGCAGCGCTGGCGTAGGGCACTGCCGGCTAGTGGGCGACACCCCTGTCTCAGGCCCAGTGGTGCCTCCGCCTCCTTGGTGTCCATCGAGGAACTGGAAAACCAGGAGTTCGTCGGCAGAGGCGGGTTCGGCACAGTGTTCCGGGCGCGACATAGGAAGTGGGGCTACGATGTGGCGGTCAAGATTGTAAACTCGTGAGTGACCCCGGTTGCCCGCCCCCGGCCGCAATCTGGCCAAAAAGGTGGAGCCACTGTGCTCTGGGGCCTGAATGGGGAATGGAGGGATTTTTCCCACGACCCCGGTTGACTCCAGCTCTCTCCTGGAGTGTAGGAAGGCGATATCCAGGGAGGTCAAGGCCATGGCAAGTCTGGATAACGAATTCGTGCTGCGCCTAGAAGGGGTCATCGAGAAGGTGAACTGGGACCACGTGCCCAAGCCGGCTCTGGTGACTAAATTCATGGAGAACGGCTCCCTGTCCCGGCTGCTGCAGCCCCAGTGCCCTAGGCCCTGGCCGCTGCTTTGCCGCCTGCTGAAAGAAGTGGTGCTTGGGATGTTTTACCTGCACAACCAGGACCCGGTGCTCCTGCACCGGGACCTCAAGCCATCCAATGTCCTGCTGGACCCAGAGCTGCACGTCAAGGTCAGCTGGTCTACACCCCTCTCAGCCTCAGGACAAGGTCCCACCCCAGAGCAGCTCCAGCCAGGCCCACTGGACACCAGACCTCCAGAGCCCTGTCTATTGAATAGGCGTAGCCTCTTCCTCTGGACACAGGGCTGCCAGGGCACAAAGCCCAGCCAGGAGTTTTAGCTCCTGCCATACCAGGTGATAGAGGCCCCGACCCACACGAGTCATTTCCACCAGCTGCCCCACCAACCCCTCCAAAGAGTCATGGCTGACCCAGCCCTGGAGACTCAGACCTTGACCCAGCCCTACCACAGGCACCTAGATCTACTATCCAAGGGAGCCTCTTCCCTTGACCTCCACACTCCCTTTACAAAGCTGAACCTGAACCTTCTGGGGGCAAGGGGGTTTCTGGAGGCTGCCTGGCCCCCTTGTCTTCCCTACCTCCCACTTCTTTCCTTCCTTTGCAGCTGGCAGATTTTGGCCTGTCCACATTTCAGGGAGGCTCACAGTCAGGGACAGCATCCAGGGAGCCAGGGGGCACCCTGGGCTACTTGGCCCCAGAACTGTTTGTTAATGTAAACCAGAAGGCCTCCACAGCCAGTGATGTCTACAGGTAAGGATCCCAGCCCAAACACACAGCCGGGATTCCTACACTTCTCTGGGCCCTCCCAGGGGGGATGTATAGGAAAGGAGTCTTGCCAGTGATTGGACTGGTCCTCAGCTTTGTGTCTCCTGCAGCTTCGGGATCCTAATGTGGGCAGTGCTTGCTGGAAGAGAAGCTGAGTGTAAGACTCTAGGCGGATTCTGGGATCCTTAACCCCAGGTGCCCTTCTCTTGAAAGCCCCAAAGCTTCCCCTTCCTGATCACCTACTAAGACTGCCCTCCTCCCTCCTTGTGCCCCCACATTACACTCCCTGCCTCTTTCCATGATGGAGCAGATATTCCCTTTTACCCTGAATGCCTCCTCTTCTCACCCTCCTCCCCTACTCCAGTGCCAACAGAAGCATCACTGGTGTATGCAGCAGTGTGCAGGAGGCAGACCCGGCCCTCATTGACTGAGCTGCCCCAAGCCGGGCCTGAGACTCCCGGCTTAGAAGGACTGAAGGAGCTAATGCAGCTCTGCTGGAGCAGTGAGCCCAAGGACAGACCCTCCTTCCAGGGTGAGCTGGCCAATTAGCTGGATCTGGGGTAAGCTTGGGTCTGTCAGCATGGGGCTTTCCTCAGGAAAAGAAGATTTGCTCACCTGCAACCCACTCTGCTGTCCCTCTAGAATGCCTACCAAAAACTGATGAAGCCTTCCAGATGGTGGAGAACAATATAAATACTGCTGTCTCCACAGTGAGCGCCAACATCACCCCTCTCCAGGAGCTGGTCAGGGATGGCACAGCATGGCTACCTGGCCATCCAATGACTCACCATTAACCACAGCTTTTTTATGCCTTGACCTTTGTCCTCACCCTCCCCAGCCCACCCCTGAGTTCCAAGAGACTACTCCCTTGGGTTTACTCTGGCTCATCCAAGTCATACCCAGCAAACTCCTCCCATCCCTGCAGGTAAAGAATTTCCTATCTGAGCTCAGGAGCAGCAATCCGAGATTTTCTACCCCAGAGTCAGGCCAAGGAGGGACAGAAATGGATGGCTTTAGGAGAACCACAGGAAACCAACACTGTCGTAATGATGTCATGGTTTCTGAGCTGCTAAACAAACTGAATCTAGAGGGGTCTCCCAGCTCTGTTCCTGAAAAATACCCGAGCCTTACCAAGAGGAGCAGGGCACAAGAGGAGCAGGTTCTGCAAGCCAGGACAGCAGGGACATCTTCAGATTCAGTGGCCCAACCTCCCCAGACTCCAGAGACCTCAACTTTCAGAAACCAGATGCCCAGCCCCACATCAACTGGAACACCAAGTCCTGGACCCCAGGGGAATCAGGTGAGACATTGGCAGGATTAGGGGATGCACTAAGAGTCCTATAAATGCTGTCCCCTTGCCAGGCAAAACTTGGGGCTGAGAGGAGTGCACTGGGCGGTCCAGGCTCCAGGACAGAACTGGATGCTCTGTGCTGTTTGCAGGGCGCTGAGAGACATGGCATGAACTGGTCCTCCAGGACCCCGGAGCCAAATCCAGTAACAGGTACCCACTCTCCACCTCTTTCTTTTCCCTGTTCAATTCTTCCACGAGACTCCTCCTCCAGATCTATATCTAGATTCAGGGTACTTTGTGGAGGGGAGGGGAGAAGATGATCTCACTCAACCTCATTTCATAAATGGGAAAACTGACACCCCCTGAGAAAGGAGCCCTCTGAGGTCACACAACAAAGCTTGGATTTGTCCCTGAGTTTTCTAACTTTCCACAGCATCAGCTCTGTGAGCCCCCTAAGTTCCATTGTTTCAGCAGTCCAGAGGACTTCCCAGCAAAAAAGATCAGGGTCTCAAATGTCAATTGCTACTCTCTAGAGCTTCTGCTAAGCCAATTCTGGAGAGGAACTCTGAAGGGAAGGGCACAGGACACACCTTAACACAGCCATTTGGGCGACCACTCCACTCAAGGCCAAGTTGGGGGTGGAGACCTCATACTCCCCACCCACCCCCAACTTGGCCTTTCTGACAGCTAAACCCTCCTGCCACCATCACTATTTCTCTTAAAGGGCGACCACTCATTAACTTACACAACTGTTCTGGGGTGCAAGTTGGAGACAACAACTACTTGACTATGCAACAGACAACTGCCTTGCCCACAGGGGGCCTGGCACCTTCGGGCACGGGGAGGGGCTGGCAGCACCCTCCACCAACAGGTTCGCAAGAAGGCCCTGAAGAACCTGAAAACTGGAGCGGGCCACATGGTTGGTATAATCATAGTGGAAAATAAAGCACCTTCAGAGCTTGCCTCCAAGAGTTACGAGTTAAGGAAGAGCGCCACCCCTTGAGGCCCCTGACTTCCTTCTAGGGCAGTCTGGCCTGCCCACAAACTGACTTTGTGATCTGTCCCCCAGGAGTCAATAAACATGATGGAATGCTAGCCAAAGTCTGAGCTCAGCCAGGGGCAGGGAGGGACTGGGATGGGGGTGGGAGCTGCCAGTGAGGGATAGGGAGGCACCACAACTCTGCTATGGCAGGAAGTGGGGATGCTGGGGGCTGGGAGTGGGCAACGGCCTGGCACACAAGGTCAGGGCACAGCCGGCTACAACAGGAAGGAATCCCAGAGGCCTGGTTCCCCAGACCAGTCTAATCTCAGGGCAGTGCTTCCTTTAAAGCCTAGGATGGCGACCCCACCCTAACCCTAAACTCTGGGGATAGAGGCTGTGGTCCCTTTTCTTCTGGGCTCTCAACTCAGTTGCAGCGCTCTGGGAAGGGATGAGTGGGTGTGAAAGATCACAGACCAGGCCCCCCACGGTGCCCTCAGGTTCTTAGAGATCATGAGGTCCCATACCTGCTTCCACCACACACTCAGGTTGCTTCCTAGACATTGCTTCCCTTTTGATTCCCAGCTGCTCTTCGGGAGTGGAAAGCTATGGCTCCTAAAGCTATACACACGCGCACCCCCTCCCACGGAACAGTTCAAACCTGGTAGTAGTGGTTGCCAGCCAGGCGGAGAGACGAGGAGAATGAGCGCCCCCAGCTCTGACCTAGATCCCCACCAGGACTCACACTCTTCCCTACATTCTTCCCTCGCCAGGCTTCAGCCCCCCGCCCTCAGTCTCCCCACTACCAAACGTTCACTCCCATTTGGACACACCCTATTCGGTCCACCCCAGCCACCCCTTCGCATCTCTCCCAGGGTCCACATTGCCCTTCCCTGAAGGGGCTGAGGCGGGAAGGCGATGGTGTTAAGAGAGACAAAACCAAGTGCGGGAGGAGACCAGGGGAGTCCGGCTTCGGCACAGGAAGGGGCCGGGCTGTCCCGTCGGGGAAGTGGGAGGGGGGCCGCGGCGCCTGGAGGGAAGCTCCTGTCGCCCGGGACTCTGAGCCAGAGCGCAGCGGCGAGCGTGACTCCGCCATCAGGTCCCCTGCTGCCTCCCTGGGCCTAGCCCACTCCGCTGCGCCAGCGCCGCGGGCAGTGAGTTCGGGGGACAGGGGAACCCGGGGGACAGGGGAACCCAGGGCTCCCTCGCACCAACCCCAAATCCTGCCCTCCTGGCGATGAAGCTTTGCTAGGGCACCTCCACAATCCGGGCACGAGGGAGGAGGAGGAAAGGACTGAGGGATCCCCTCATAGCCAGCTGGGAGCGGGCTGGGAGGCCGCAGGGAGGGCCTGAAAAAGGAGACGGGATTACCACGAGGTTTGGAGGCGCGGGGAGGTAGCGGCTTGGAGCGGGTTAGAAAAGCTCAGGTGCGGCCCGCCGGGCCGAAGGAGGTAACCCGGCGCCCGGCCCTAGCCAGCCTCGGGACTCTGGGCGGGGGAGATCATGGCCCGCCTCTTCAGCCCCCGGCCACCCCCCAGCGAAGACCTCTTCTACGAGACCTACTACAGCCTGAGCCAGCAGTACCCGCTGCTGCTGCTGCTGCTGGGGATCGTGCTCTGTGCGCTCGCGGCGCTGCTCGTGGTTGCCTGGGCCAGCGGCAGGGTGAGCCGGGCCGCCGCTGCGGGAGGGTCGCTGCCTGGGTAGCGTTTTCGGGGTTGGGGTTTGTGGGGTCTTTTTTTCGATGTGTTTCGTTGCTGGGAGCCGAGAAAGAACCATTGAATCTGGCTAGGAACTGCAGTGACCCTGGGCAAGTCACTGTACCATTCTGGGTCTGCGCAGGGAGAAAGCTGAGTCCTGGATGCTTCTAGTTTCTGTCCGGGTTCTGACAGACTTCATGAACGTCCGTGGTCTACGGGTTCTACAATAAATCCATCACCGGATTTTCCAGTTTTCCAAAAGGGAAATTCTAGGAGGCCCCTGAGGAATTCATTTCCTGCCTTTCTCTGCCTCTTAGGGGATGTGGGGCAGTTGTGCCCACAGACTCCCAGAAGGCACCCTCCACCCGGCTCTCACTGAGTCCCAAAGTAAACCCATGTCCAGTACCTGTTTGGGAAGGAAGGGAGTCTTTAATCAAATTCTAGAAATGGCCTGCCCCGGGTTTTCTTTTCACTCCTTGGAGGCAAAGTGGGAAAATCACCGGGCGCGGCCAATCCTTGCTAGTCCACGCCGAAATCCGGGAAGAGATGGGGACAAAACGCGGGGACGACGGTGGAACTTCTGCAAGGAGTTGAGGCAGGTGGCGAGATCGCAGCCCTGGCGGCCAGGAAGGTGCGGGACGCTGCGGGTCCTGGCGCCCCCTGCTGCTCGAGCACTGCCTCGCACCGCCCTCCGAGCTGCCAGCCGCCGGCCCCCGCGCCGCCGGGAATCTCCCGAGCAAATTGGCCAGATTTGGAGACATTCATTCCGAAGTGCCTTCTTGTGAGCTAGGATCTATCTTTTACTTGTTTCATGAAGCTTTGGTTCCCGTTTGACAGATAAGAAAATTGAGGCTCAGAAAAGTCATGGATTCACAAATAGGGGAGCCAGATTCACAAATGGGAGCCAGATCTTCTAGGTAGCTGTCCCAGGCTCAGCAAGATAATAGGTTGGACCGCAGGAGGCTGGGCGCGGTGGCTCACGCCCGTAATCCCAGCACTTTGGGAGGCCGAGGTGGGAGATCGCTTGAGCCCAGAAGCTCGAGACCAGCCTGGGCAACTTGGCGAGATCCTGTCTTCTACTAAAAATGCAAAAAAAAAAAAAAAAAAAAAAAAATTCAGCCGGGCGTGGTGGCGGTAGCATGTAATCCCAGCTACTCGGGAGGCTGAGGCACGAGAATCACTTGAACCCGGAAGCAGAGGTTGCAGTAAGCCGAGATCGTGCCACTGAACTCCAGCCTGGGCGACAGAGCAAGACTCTGTCTCAAAAAACCAACCAACCAACCAACAAAAATCATACGAGATTGCTGAGTCTAGATAAAAACATTAGGACACAAGCAGTTTCAAATGGTTCAACCTAAAGTGAATGGCAAGCGGAGGTGCCTTGCCTCCTTTTAGTACTTAGGCTTGAGACATCTTTCAGAACTGGGCTGAGGGGCTGGGCTGCCGGCTCTTCCCTTATCAGGTTCATTCCTTCTCCCTGTCACAATCTTGCCTCATACACCCCTTGCCCACAGGAGCTGACCTCAGACCCGAGCTTCCTGACCACTGTGCTGTGCGCGCTGGGCGGCTTCTCGCTGCTGCTGGGCCTCGCTTCCCGCGAGCAGCGACTGCAGCGCTGGACGCGTCCTCTGTCCGGCTTGGTATGGGTCGCGCTGCTAGCGCTAGGCCACGCCTTCCTGTTCACCGGGGGCGTGGTGAGCGCCTGGGACCAGGTGAGAGGGGCGGCAGGCAGGGCAGCGGGGACGGCCCGGGCTTCGATCCCTCACCAGGCCTTGAATAGTCCCACTCTGGCCTTCGGCTTTCCGCGCCCCGCCCCCAGGTGTCCTATTTTCTCTTCGTCATCTTCACGGTGTATGCCATGCTGCCCTTGGGCATGCGGGACGCCGCCGTCGCGGGCCTCGCCTCCTCACTCTCGCATCTACTGGTCCTGGGGCTGTATCTTGGGCCACAGCCGGACTCACGGCCTGCACTGCTGCCGCAGGTGAGCACGCAAGTAGCACAGGCTGCGCTCAGGACGGCTCTGTCACGTGCCAGTAGTCTCCTTTGGTGGGGTTGTGGAGCTGTGACTCTAAGGCAGGGTGCAACGCTGGGAGTAGGATACCCAATCTTGCTTTCGCAGAGCTGGTACAACAGTGTGGTGCAATGCCTGCTGTTACCAGAAGAGGGATCCAGGTCTCAAGGAAGGGAGTCGTGTCGTGGTTTGCCCGGGGACAACAGATGTTGGTTAATGAAACCTTGACACAGAATGTAAAAAAAAAAAAGTTTTGTGCCACGGAAGTGGGTAGCGACAGTGGAGTGGTATTCCAAACAGAGGAAATGTACCTGCAAAGGTTCCAGACCTAAGAGGTCGTATTGGTGAAGCAGCCGAGAGTCTGGAGCAGGGAGCATCTGGGAAGGGAAACGCCCCTAGGGATGCCACAGTGTGGCACCACTTGTTCCACAGTAGTTAGGTCCCTCACTGTAGAACCCAGTCTCCCCCAGCCAGTCTTTGAGACCAATTCCAGCTACACGCGACAACCACCGGGTCCCGCGTCCTCTGAGGCTGGCCTTCGCCCACAGTTGGCAGCAAATGCGGTACTGTTCCTGTGCGGGAACGTGGCAGGAGTGTACCACAAGGCGCTGATGGAGCGCGCCCTGCGGGCCACGTTCCGGGAGGCACTCAGCTCCTTGCACTCGCGCCGGCGGCTGGACACCGAAAAGAAGCACCAGGTTAGCCTGGCCTAGGAAGGCCAGACCAGCGCTCCCAGAGAGGAGTTGCTTAGATTACATAACGGGGGTCCTCCACAGGTTGAGTGACTCTGGGCAGATTTCTTGACCTGTTTCCTGTTTTGTATAAAACGTGGGTATTGCCCATCTTAGAAGGTTGTGAGGCTCACACAAACCAAAGCTTATAAAAAGCACTTTAGGGCATTATGATATTAAGTGAACTCTCATTCAGGTGTTGGTACTGGGAGTTCAGTCCCTAAAGGTGATCAATGTAGGATGGGGTGCTGGAGACCTGTTGTGTGCAGAGGGAGGACCTGGGGGAGCATCCTGGGGAGCACGTGTGGTGGGCAGTGTGGGCTCCTGAGTGATTTGGAAGGCAGGGGCTCCTGGCTTTAGGATACAGAGGAGTTGGTACTCATAGTGACCTCTTCTAGGAACACCTTCTCTTGTCCATCCTTCCTGCCTACCTGGCCCGAGAGATGAAAGCAGAGATCATGGCACGGCTGCAGGCAGGACAGGGGTCACGGCCAGAGAGCACCAACAATTTCCACAGCCTCTATGTCAAGAGGCACCAGGGAGTCAGGTATGATGAAGAATGGCTGGAGGGGAGGAGCCTGTGGGCTAAAACCCTGGCCCCACTGACACAGTCTGCCCTATGCAGTGTGCTGTATGCTGACATTGTGGGCTTCACGCGGCTGGCCAGCGAGTGTTCCCCTAAGGAGCTGGTGCTCATGCTCAATGAGCTCTTTGGCAAGTTCGACCAGATCGCCAAGGTCAGAGAAGGCTTCCCTCCCCACCCAGGGACCCTCAAATTTCCCATCCTGGGTAGCCCCTTCCAAGGGAAACTCCCACCTTATAAGATCCCAGGCCCACTTCAGTGCATGCAGGCCCCCAGATATCCCAGTGGAAAGAGGAAACCCTCTCAAACATTCCCAGTCATGAAGCTGCTCACCACACATCTGAAACCTGCAGAGATCCCTCAATATCTCCACAGATGTCCCAAGTACAATGCCCCATACAAGCTCAGAGCCCCAACATATGTGTCTCTGGACACTACGACCAAATCTATAGAGACGTTTTGATATTCTAACCTTAGGGGGCCCTTCCAAGAGAAATTTCTGCCCTATGCAACCTCAGCCCAGCAACCTGCTTAGACTCCAGGGATACCTCCAAGCAACCAATTCTTGGGTTCCCCCCAACCTCTCAATCCTGAGACCACTACCACATATTCAACTCTGGGTACCCCCTTCACTTGCCAAAAGTGGAAAGAGCCACAGCCATCCAGCCCTTGGGGAAACCCTTCTGAGAAAGAGATCTGCATGGAAGACAGTTAGCCCCATATCAGGTGAAAGGAGTCCCTAGATCTGATCTAAACACTACCCCACCTTGGAAGTTCTTCAGGAATACCACACTCGCTCCCCGCTTTTCCCAACTCCCTCCTACCCTTCTGGCCTCTAACCAGGTTCCTCTACACACCCACATACACACTCCCAGGAGCATGAATGCATGCGGATCAAGATCCTGGGGGACTGTTACTACTGTGTCTCCGGACTGCCACTCTCACTGCCAGACCATGCCATCAACTGCGTGCGCATGGGGCTGGACATGTGCCGGGCCATCAGGTCAGCTCAGGCGGTGGTCAGGAGGAATGCTGAGGGTGGATGTGGGGGGCAGCAGGCAACTGACAGAAGTCCTCTTTGTGAGAATCAGGGGTGTCTCATAGGCAGGGCTGAGGGTAGGACTCAGATTGCCCCACACTCACTCTGCTCAGGAAACTGCGGGCAGCCACTGGCGTGGACATCAACATGCGTGTGGGCGTGCACTCAGGCAGTGTACTCTGTGGAGTCATCGGGCTGCAGAAGTGGCAGTATGACGTTTGGTCCCATGATGTCACACTGGCTAACCACATGGAGGCAGGCGGTGTACCAGGGTGAGACCTATGGCCCTAGGCAGCTACAGCAGAAGGCCAACCAGGCCTACCACAGGCTGCCAAACTTTTCGTTAGTTCCTTAAGATAAGCACAAGATGAGTACCTTAAGATGAGTCCCATATGGGGCTTGGGAGATCCTAGGGTACCGGGAGGGGAGCTGGGAGGCACCTCCTGTAACACAGGCTCTTTCTTGAAGTCAGACCTCCAGGAATGATCTTTAAAAGACATGAGATGTTTGTCAGTTCTAGGAGCCACGGGCATGAGGGGGCAGGAAATAGGAGATGTGAAGGCCCTCCCTGCTGACCCCTACTGCCTCCCTCCTTCCAGGCGAGTGCACATCACAGGGGCTACCCTGGCCCTGCTGGCAGGGGCTTATGCTGTAGAGGACGCAGGCATGGAGCATCGGGATCCCTACCTTCGGGAGCTAGGGGAGCCCACCTATCTGGTCATCGATCCACGGGTAAAAGCCCAGCGCAGACCCCGTGGGTTGGCCCACACAAACTGTCCCACAGTCAACAGGCCTGATCTCTTCTGTGCCAGAGATTGAGTTCCTGGATCCTACTGGGGGGTGGAGGAAGAATGAGGGAGTGTCTGTCATCTTTACTCTCAGCCCTCATGTGTCCCAGGCAGAGGAGGAGGATGAGAAGGGCACTGCAGGAGGCTTGCTCTCCTCGCTTGAGGGCCCCAAGATGCGTCCATCACTGCTGATGACCCGTTACCTGGAGTCCTGGGGTGCAGCCAAGCCTTTTGCCCACCTGAGCCACGTAGACAGCCCTGTGTCCACCTCCACCCCTCTCCAGGTATGCGCACCTTCACCCTGAGCCCCAGAGCTTAGTTAAATCCACCGCCAGTATCCTCAGGCCCCACTCCCACCCAGCCTTCTCTGCCCCCACCACCAGTGAGCCACTTAATGATTTGTGATATCCCAAAGTCCTGAACTGTCTGGTCACCCCAGTCACTGGTTCAGGCCCTTCCTTGCCCCTCCTTCCAGAGAAAGGGCCCTCCAGCTCACCTCAGAGAAGATCCAAGATCCCTACAGACACCATGTCCATAACTCCCCAGCCTCTACTCAGGAGAGTGCCTTCCCCTGACACCACATAGGCAGTTGGACCCCCACTTCCTCCTGTCTCTGATTGTAGGGCTGTGCACCCATAGCACCAGGAAATGTCTCTGTTTAACTCAGTTTCTGAAACTTCATGCTCTCTTCTTCAATCCCCTCCAACACTGGGGAGTAGGGGAAGGACACTGGCAGCAGTGGTTGCAGGAAGTACTTAATTCCAAGTGTTAACATGAGGTAGGGGAGAGGTCAGAGGGTTAAGCTGGCAGGAGGAAGAGGAAGGAAGAAGCTGAGGCTCAGCTGACTGTTGGAGGATGAGACCTCTAAGGTAGGTGGAGTGGTGTGTGGGGATTGCTCCAAGCCCAGGAACTATGAGATGACCTTAGGTGCAAGGTTGTTGTTCAAGAGTATCTCCTGAGGCAGGACCTTCACTAGCACAGAAATCCACTTAGCCCCTGAAGTTCCAGGGGATCAGTCAAATATCAGAAATCTTGCCAGGCACAGTGGCTCACGCCTGTAATCCCAGCACTTTGGAAGGCCGAGGCAGATGGATAGCTTGAGGTCAGTAGTTTGAGACCAGCCTGGCCAACATGGCGAAACCCCATCTCTACTAAAAATACAAAAATTAGTCAGGTGTGGTGGTGCGTGCCTGTAATCCCAGCTATTCACGAGGCTGAGGCA